AAAAACCTCAGGTACAAAACTTATTGACCCGGGTGTAGAGTAGAGCTGTCCTTCTCCCTGTGCAGCGCCATGGTCAGCCATGGTCCGGTGGTGCGACACCTCAAGTTGCTCCTCTTTGCGATCAAGCTGAGCCGTCCATCCGACTACAGGGCATCGTATCCGACGGCTTGAGGTGAAGTGCTCCACGTTCGACACGTGGCGGCAGTTGGTGCCCTGATCAAATTAGGGTTTGCTCACCAAACGCGACGCTTCGTAGGACTCCTAACAAAGGCTAGAGCAGCCTCAGCAGGCTGCAGAGAAGCTGCAGACGATGTTGAGCAGGTTTGTGCACGCAGGTTCGTGACGACGCCGAAGACCGCCTCAACCAGGCCGCGCTTGGGGGGAGTCGATGCTTCTCCATTCCAACGCCTGCTTCTAACGCAAGCGCGGCCTCGGGCCATCTTAATATCTCCTACAAAGTCTCTGCATAGAGGACGGGCAAATATTTGTCTTAATTCAATTCCAAACGCCGGTCCTTCCCGCCAAAGCTTCCCTGCTCGTCCCTTCACACCCGGATCCTTCCTCAGCGCGATGGTGGGTTTCTCCCTGGCTGTCCACACCGTTGCACCAGTTTGCAGCATCAATCCCATAGGCAGTAGCCTATTGAAGCACCCAGTATCATCAGATCAGCCCCAAAGGTCATCTTTCCTAGGGAAGCCCTGCCTTGCTGCTTCGTGCTCCTTCTCAGGGAGTCCGCTGCTGCCGGTTCGCAATGGATCAGACTATGCAACAAGAGATGGGAGAAGCTTGGTCACGGCGGCAACGGGGCCCTCTGGAAATACACCAACCCTCCACGTTGGACGCCTGTGGCTGAAGCAGGTTTCCAAGGCTGGTAAGGGTGGAGTGATTTCCTTCATATACTTTAAAGGATGCTGGTGACGGATTTCTTTTTCAAGGTTTCCTTCCTTAGTAAGCTTAGGTTGGACGAACTTTAAAAAGGAACTCTTCGAATAGTTACAAGTCTTCAAGGATTGAAGTTTTAGAGCATTTGTCGTTGCCCTGTAAGAAAGCTGGATGGTTACTTAGGCTTTGGCCAGTGTGTAGAGAACAGAAGTCCTCGTCGGTTCCATCACAGTCTTGCTTTGGATTGCAAGAAGAGGGTAAGGAGACTGGTCAGGGATCCCTTTGCAGCGTTTAGGATTCCGAAAAGCAAGGGAAGCAGGGAGGAGCTTGATTGTTCGCCTGTAGAAGACACAGGCCTGTGGTTTGAAGTACAGCAATCTGTGCAAGCCTGTGAGTTTGCAAAGTCAGCATCGCTGATTATGATAGCCAGTTGAAGATTGCAGACGGCCTTGTTGATAAAAATAGAGTTTGCTTTGCAGGCCAAGGCAAGCAAAACGCCAGTGGACCTAAGACCAAGGGCGACTGCCGCCGGCTGTGCCCTCCAACTGCCACTGTTTCGGTGGAGACTCGCCCTCTCCTGCAGAAACCGTTCACACTCCCGCACGCCATGGAGATGCAGGTCAAAGATGAGAAGTAAGACAGCAAAGGCTGGCTCTGTCATGCCGCTGATTGGGGTGGTATGTTGTCAGGGTTGTTGCTAACTGCTTATACAACAGGCTCCATAGCACATGGCTGTTGAAGGTGTATCGAGACCTGACTTCTTTGGGAACATTGGGGGTGGAGTTCTTACCCTCCTCTTAAGAAGGAATTTTTAGCACTACAAGGGACCTCACTACTGCTTGGCGGTTGCTGTAGCTTTGGAAGGGTCTATGATTACTTACAGGTGGACTCGTGGTTGGCTTTGCGAGACGCTACTGGATTGAAGCTGCAACATTCTGGTGGCCAATCTCGACTGTGCATGCAAGTGAAGATGCGGATTTTAATGAAGAGGAAATGGCTCAGGATCTTTCAATCCTCTTTCAATCCTCACCATGAGTGCCAAAAGGTTGTCTGCTTTTGCTTGAGTTCTGCTCTCATGTTTTGCCCTTGCTCTAACATGTCTCCTTCCTTTGTTTGCAGATCATACACCGAGACGCAGAGCGACGCGGTGCCAGCGCATGCGGCCTGGCTGACTTACCGTGCCGCCATCAGCGATGATCACACCAGCAACGAATACGCTGTGGGGGTCTCCAACCGCCTGGCCACTCTAGCGGAGTACAGGATGATGCGTGAGCAGTCCCTGCTGAGTCTGCAAGCAATTCGGGCGGCCGCGTTTGAAGGGCAGACCGGAAACGACGAGAATTAGATTGTTGTTATTGATCAGGTTGGTAGAGCGAGAGTTAGTCTGACATTTGCAGAGTTTGATAGGCGCCAGTAACCAGAACACTAGAGAAAGTTAAGTCAACCTTGACGAGATTTTTAGGAGTAGTCTAGCTCGAGTGTAAATTGAGATCAGCACGAGTTTTTATCAGCACCATCACAACTCAGAGAGTTGACCAAATATAGATATGTGCAAACGACTAGGTTGCTAGTATGCGAATCAGGCCAATGCACTTCTTGGTGGGATCAGACTTGGGGTCTGGTCGCAGCATCAGTTGTTCAGGACCTGCTAGACCTCCGTCGACATGTAGGTTTGCCCTATTGGCAGTTAGGACTACTTTAGTGTTGTCGTTAAGCCGCACAATCTAGATCTGACAGGAGAAAAGAGGTCCAGTAGAGGTTTTCGTTAGGTAGTATGTCAAAGTAGTATGTTAAGAATCGACCTGAACAAGAGTCAGCGAGCTAGCTAATTCTACAAGAGATAGAAGTACTTGAGCGGCTATAGGGCAAGTTGAGCGCGAGCTTATAAGAAAGGTACAGAACGTGAGCTCACAATTGCCAAGCAATAGGGACAGGCAGCCATAAGCTAGAAAGCCGTTCTCGATCAAAAGACTTTTGACATTCGATTACTACCGTACGACCAAGGTATGATTCCGAATGCTCCAAAAAAGCAATTATTTTAGCGAATGCGAGCCCAAACATGTATTATTTTCTACTTTCCGACTCTAAATCCGAATCTTTTCCCTGGCGCCTATAGCTAGTTGTCTCGGAGATTGCAAAAACGGTCAGTGTACGCGTGCATTTTATGTAGCCGCAGCGCCTAGGTTTGCACGCACAACTAGAATGGCCGCATGCATAGCATGGTGTCGAGCCTGAGACGGTGACGGCATGATCGAATTGGCCGTGTGGCCGATCATGCATGTTTGCAGTGCATGCAGGAGCAGACATTGAAATGATCGAGTCCGATCGGATCCACCTGCAAAAGTACGCTGGCCCGTAGGCACTAATACTCCACCGTATGTATGTATCCCGATTTACGCCAGATACATCTTGCCAGGAACATCATGCAGCGCCCGGCCAAGAAATTAGATGTCGGACACTAAGAGCTGCAACTTAAGCAATATAATTGTTAATCGTTTATTAACTTACGTCGGTTCGGAGCCATGACAGGCTTAGTCGACGATTGTCCTATTTAAGACCTCAGGACCTCTGCGCGTCTTAACGTGCACAAATGGACAAACTTAGCTACCGCAAATTGGTCCTCTTGATTAAGAAAACTCTTTAGGTTTCT